AAATAGACAATACCATCCCTACGTAGTGCCATGTGGATGTGGACATGGATACAGGACCTAGACGCACGGTAGTCTTGAGGCTGGTACAAGGCAATATCTCGTTTCTAGAACAAGATTTTTAAGGTTATTTTATTAAAATAAATTATTTTAATAAATTATATTATGTAATTTATTAAAATAAATAAAAAATAACTTGTAAGTATAAATTATGTTTCATAAGTTATTCATAAAATTTTTACATAGATCATAAATAGATCTCACCTCTTAAGTTATATTGTATATTAAAATAATTTTAAAATAGTGAAAAATTAATTTAATTCCTAAATTGAATATTATTCATCAATTTACTTTTAAATGTTAGAAAAAAATAAATCTATGACTTAAGTTCTTAGAAAATTATTAATATCATGTTTTTAAAAAATAATTTTTAGTATGCCTTTTGTAATTAAACTATTTTATTAAAAAAATTAAATAACTGTTAACATTATCAATTTATGAGATTTTTTATTTTTAAAAATTGAATAAATTTAAAGAATGTTTTAAAAAATATATTATTACCATCGCTCAATTTTTTAATATTATGAAATCACTTAATTAATTTTTTAATTTAATAATTATTAGTCAATTTAGTTCCTAAACTTAGGTGCCAAATTAATTGATAGTGCGAATTTGGAACATATTGTGTTGTAAAAGTAAAATTATTTTGCTAATTGGTTTGTTAAGAAGGGAGTATGAATGAATGAAGCTTTCAAAATTTTGGAAGTTGCTACGTGTAATACTAAGGTTAGGTAGTTTTACTTGACTTGTTCAAATATGAAGAATTTGAAGTAACTCAAATCTAAATTAGGTGGATGAAAACAGGTCAAGTAAAAGCTAGATATAAATTAACGATTTGAATTAGGTATATGCAGACATGTGTGAGTTGGTTAAGTTCAACTCAACAAGACCTATCTATGATGCATATACGGGAGAGAGGTTATTTAGAAACCCTAATCTCTTCCCTTCTTATGCCTAATCCTTAATCTCGTCATCCCCTTTCTCTAAATTTTTGCTTTGTTTTTCTATTAGTTCTTTTTTCTTTTTGCAAGCCTAGCTATTTGTCATCTTAATACTTATCTTTCCTCTCTCTAGTCCAAACTTTTATTGGGCAAAGTGATCTTTAGATATTACATCATAGATAATGTATTTTCTAAAATATAGTCATATTAGAAAATTAGTCATTAGTTAAAAATCATTTTAAAAGCTATTTTTTTATAAATTAAAAATATGCAATTGATTTTGTTCAAATAGAAGAATGTTAATAATTTTTATGAGTTGTAATCAAATATAATATTATTTTAATAAAAATGAGTTAATTCATGATTAAAAAAAGTGCATAAATATGCACACTAATTAATTTAAGTTATCTCTTTGTTTGGTGTTAAACATTTTAAAATAAAAGTTAATGATCATAGAAAATTATAGTTAATACTTATATATTTGATTAGGTTCCTTTTTTGTATTCATGTGAGTTGTTCCTAAGCTTGTCTATCAAAAATTATGATTTGAGAAAGTAAGTTATAGAATACGTGTAAATGAGTTGAATTACTTGTAAAATTGTTCAAGTTTAACTCATTAAATGTCTAATTAAACTTTTATTTAATTAAATAAACAAGCTTAAGCTTTAAATTAGTTTTACTTATTTAAATAATTCAAACTTAAACTTTGTATGCTTAACATTAATAGCTTGTAAATAACAAAAAAACACACACATATATATATATATATATAATTATAATTTTTATTTTACTTTTTAGTACAAAAATATTCATTAAATACTAAAATAATATTCAAAAATTGCCAAAAAAAAAAAATACAAACAAGCTACTGAGTGAAATTCGAGTTTTAAAAATGTTAATTAAGTATAGTCTTTTACTCATTTAAATAAATGAATTAGGCTTGAGCATTATTTTATTTTCACAAATCAAGTTTTAAATTTAAATACTCATCACATTGACTCATTTACACCCATATTATAAAGGAACTCCTAACCTAGTAGTTGTTATTTAATTTGTATGAGTGTAGCAAATCTTGTAGCAAAAGTTATGTCTTTTAAAAGTAGGCATAAAATTTTATATTAACTGTACTGGATAATACACCACTTGGTCTCAATGATAAAAGAAGGAATCTAAATATCCGTTCGGCCTAAATAAGACGAGCGCCCTCCCTGTCAGATTAAGAATAAATTAAAGAATAATTGAACTGATTAAGATAAATAATTAGATCATTATTTACTTAATTAGAAGGTTAAAGATAGGGTTGATCCACACAGTGTTTAGCCTATAATAATGCCTATAAAAAGAAAGTAAGAGATATAAGTAAAATGTTGACTTTCAAATATTTAATAGCATTTATTATTTTATCATTAGAGTGTCTTTTACAGGTACACCTTTCTACGTAAGACAAAGAAAAGTCAGCAATACTTGCAAAGACGTCACTGTATTTTATATCAGAGTATTGAGAAAATCAGTGTATCTGTAATAGAAACATTAACATTTCTAATTTTTCTAGTATTCTAATATCAAATAATCTTGTTGAATAATATTTTTACTCATATTGCTTACTCTCTTAGCTTAGACTTTCATATGTATAACTTCATAGTTCTTGGAACCTTTTGAGATTATACTTCAACTTTCCATAATATTTTCATGAAAGAATTATAAGAGTAAAGATCTTGGATCATATTTTTGAAAATAATCTTTTTATATGGGTCGTGAACATGAAAGGAAAATATAACACCGATTCTACTTATGAATGATTGCAAATACATAACGAGATTCGTCACAAGATACAATGTGTGACTAACTTACAAAATAGCATATTCACAAATCACAAGCATTTTAGGTGTAACATGTGCTTATCACTTACTTTGTCTAATATATTCCTTTCATTGTGAAGATTTCCTTCATTGCGTACACAATTGTTTACATGCTAAAAAGTTGTGGTTGCACATTAGAAACCTTGGAATTCTAATGTTTGCGACATTGTCCCATGATAATGCAGGCTTGATGCTAGCAACTCTTTAATGGTCTTGAGGTAGAATGATAGAATCTATAGTGATAAGCTCTAAACTAGTGTGTATCTTTTGAAAAATCCATGTAAATAAGCCACTAACAATATATCTTGAATCCCTTCACCGTTCCCTTTCGTTAAATTGAACATTTATAATAACTTTTTCCCTACCAATTAAAGGTCACATAAAAGCTGACAAGGTCTTAAAAAAATCATTAAGAAAATGATGACTTCAAATTTTTTCTTATTTTGTAAGTATGAGAGACACTCTTATAGTAGAACTTATATCCCTTCTTTAACAAAAGATTATATCATACTTAACTTTATGGTGATAAACATATTATTTTCAAGGTTGATTGTATGTAGTTGGTCAACATTTTTTATAAAGAAGTATATTTTAATTGTTAACCAGTTTCACAACGATTAAGAGGTAAATATCCTTATATTCCTAGGAATAAGAAGCTTGTGACATATGACTTGCCCAAGATTGAAGTTTAGGGAATTTGATCTTCAGCTTCCAATAGAGTACATTCCTTTATCAATCAAAATTCTGCATCTTATAATTGATTTATTGTCCTGTTATTTTTAACCAAACAAAAAAAAAATCAAAATTCATTTGACTTCTAAACTCACATTTTGTTAAATATAAATAATTATAATTTTTATATAGAGTTAAAATTAATGTTAAATTTTATCATCAGTTTAATTTTAAAAAATTCAAATAGGAAACATATCACTTGAAATTTACTTTCAAATAAAATTAATTAGTAAAATTAAATTAATCTAAATAGATAAGTACTGAGTCAAAATCACTCTCACTTTCACCTACGAAGTGTGGCTTAGTTGGCAATATAGGTTGAGATTACCCACATTTTTACCAAACAAACCTAGGATGACGAGCCTTAATCGTGCCAAAATTAATTTTGTTCCATTTTCTTGAGGCAAACAAAAAATGTAGACCATAATACAAGTGGAAGTGAAACTTCAATCCAAGTGAATTTTTAAAATAAATTTACAGTAAAAAATAAATAAATAAAGATAAATTTATTTTTAAATCATTACTAATAAGATTTTTTTATGTATGGTACAGAACTTATAAAACTGAAATAAATATTTTAAAATATTAAAAGTATATTACATGACTACTTTTAAATTTAATAACTTTTTCAATGAAAAATAAGAAAATATTTTTAATAATAATAAATATTCACTATATTAAGTAAAATTAAATATTTAAAATTAAAATCATACAAAAATTTAAAATTTAAATATTTAAGGTATAAAATCACGTAAAATAATAATTTTAAAAAATATTTTCGTTCAAAAATGACAATCTCAAACATACAAGGACAAATTTACCCTTAAAATGAATTTATGGTACAGATAACGTTGTCCGTTACCAAATGATGGATCGATTACTTTTTAAAGTTGTCTATCTTTTGCTTTTAATTTAGTTATGCAAAAAGTTTATATCTATTTTAACCTTTTACTTATTATTGTATCAACATATAAATTAATTAAAATAAACATTAATTTTATTTTAAAATCATATCTCAATAAATATAATAAACTAAAACTTTAATATTGAATTAAAAGTTTTATCATTATAATATCATCTTACACTCATTTAAAAATAATAATTTTATAAAATAAAATTTATTTAAAGTCAATTTATTAAATACATTTTCATCGTATGAATGAAGGACAGACATTTTCATGTCACCTGTATGGTTCAGCTCACGTGCAATAATTAATAATTTCTTATTCGCCGCATGGAATGAACAATATACATTTGCCCATATGTATTATATTATAATATATCTCACCCACCAACAATTTTCATTCAAATTTTCTCAATTTTTAAATTAATTTTTTTTTGCAGAATAGATCCAGCCTTAAGTCTAAACTTAAAAGCAAAAATTTAACAACTTCCAAAAACCAGTTATCAATCATCTGGTACTACCAAACACACCGCTGCGTCTGGCCTTTGAAACGGCGTCGTCGAACCCCACCAACCTACATTTGGCACGGTTCAATGAGGCCACCACCGTGGGAACCGGGTTTCCCTGAACCGGGTTTGTGGTTCTCCGATATGGTGCGAACCACTTGTTCTGCATGTACCAGTTCTTCCTCCACGGAGGCACAGTTAACTCTCTGCTCCTAAAACAACGCTTCGCAACACCGCACAAGACCCGAACGCTGCGTTTCAACTCCTCTTCCGTTCCAACGAATATTCCAGGAACATAACTCAGAATCTCCGAGTACTTACTCGTGGGCCGAGCTATCTCGAACTGGCCCATGAAATCAAGCTCCACGAAGTACCTTTTCTGCCACGTTGTCGGTCCAGAGTGCACCACGTCGATAAACTCATGATTGCCCGCGGTTATTCCGCTTGAAGAATCCCACTGCGTTTTGCAGATTGCCGCATTGTGCCCCTTCTCACGTAAAAACGACATCACGTTTCGTCGGTACAACGAAAGGCTTCGTTCCTTCAAAAACGCGAACTTCTCCGCTGCCTCCGAAACGTGCGCGTGAAGCAAGCTTTTATAAGAGTCTGAAACATTGGAAGTTGTTATTAACTTGTGTAAATCATCCACCCTGTCCATGCAATCTGAGACTGAGTCAACTTGCTCAGAGTCAAAATCGTTCACTGCTGAGTCACCCGAGTTATCGTTGTCTTCGAGGAAATCATGCACGAGCTCGGAGAGGCTCAGCGACTCGCCGGCGCCGGAATGTTCACTCCCGCTGCTGACGTAGCTCAGTTGCCGGTGATCGCCGCCAACGAGTCGCGCTTTGGCTTCTTCATCGAACGGGTCAGTAACTCGTTTCTTTCTTGCAAAAACCACCATTGATTAGTTTCTACAAGAATTCTGAGGAATTGTTGTTTGAAATTTGGATTAAGTGAGCACAATGAAATGGTGAGTGTGTGAGTTTGTTTATAAAGATGATGGAATCGCTCGAATTTTCTCGAGAATATTCGAGGGAAAAAGGTTGTAGGTTAAAAATAATTGCTGGGATTTTGGTCCAAATTTATGTGTAATTTGAGAGTTTGACGAAGTTTTACAGGGATATGCGGGTAGGATCCGAATGAGGGAATGTAGATGCTTGGCATATCCGGTTTTGTTCGGGTCAAGACTTGCTCTTGTGACGTGTGGGAGTGTGATTTCACCATGTGTGCGTGAGGGAAAGGTAGGCTTGCACGAGCGTGGCACGTGGGTGGGTTGAGACAGTGGATGGATAAGGTATTGAAGGAATGGTGGGGTCGTTTTATGGGATAGGGTTTGCCGTTTTGTGAGCTTGGAAGGTCATGCAGTGTTCAAAGTGAATCATGATTATTATTATTATTTTTACGGGAGGGTTCAAGAATAAAGGGATTGCTAAATGATTAATGAATAAATTAATGTTTAAGAGGATTAATGAGGAAGGGTTTGAGATTTGGGGCATTATCTTGCTTCCAAAGGAATATGCCCCATGTGGATCATATTCATGAGTGTATTTATTATCTTTATTTCATGTTTTGGATATAAAGCAAGTTTGAAAAAGGTCAAAGGATTAAATAGTTTCGAGATTGAAAAATGGCTATTAGATATCTGATATGCCCCTTTAGCTCTTTTAAAATAAAAAATGGTATAAAATAAGAAAGTGAGCATATATTTGTCATTAATTTAAATTTAATTATTTATATCTTTAATTAATTTTGAAATTAAAGATAAGTAGAGAGTTATTTTTTTACTTTATACATATTTCACTTTCAGAGTTAAATTTATTTTATATATATTTAGGGAGAGGTAAAAAATAAAAAAATGTAATTACTGATGTGATAAAAGGAAATTAAAAGTATTATATGTGTACAAAATTACAATTCTTCTATATGTGTGTGTGTAGTGGACTGAAATGAACTCACAAATTACCGTGAACTAATGATGATCATAGTTCATAGTTTGTCTTTACCTTTATTTATAAAAGCCCTTTATTTAGACAAACAAATTTCTACAAATACCTACGCATGTCATATATATATATTATTTTTTTTCAACTTTTATTAAAAATAAAAAAATGTTAAATTTTTTTAGAGTAAGTTTGAAAACCAGATTTTTAAAAATAGGGTTAAATCATTTTTACATTTTTCATTTACTATTATTTAAATAAAATAATAAGTAAATATAAGTTTAATATCTTAATATTTTTTAAGTATTATTAAATCATCTTAATTGAAAATTTAAAAATATTTAAAAAATTAAACTCAAACATACAAGAGTTGACACTTTTATTAAACTTTATTTAAGCATTATTTTTTTAAGATAAAAGGCACTATTACTGACTTTTTTAAGTAAGTATGACATATAGTTTCACTGCTATCTTTCTTTCAAACCACTTAGAGCGTTCTATAACCGAAGGATATATCTAGCTAGAGTGCTCTATAATAGGAGCAACCTTTAGTCATGAACATCCTTTGTCATGTGATTTGATTTGTTTTCCATTTTATGATAAATGTGATTTTTCCTATCTCAAGAATTGAGATGCCTTCGGAGCATTTCCAATTCAATTTGGTGGTGGATATTTTTAGTCATTTAATTTGAAGAGCTATTATTAGTCTTTTATTTGTAGTATGAAAATAATACCTTGACTTTAGATAATGGGCAGAAAAATTTTCTAAATGTTTTCTTTCTTTCTTTCTTTCTTTTTTTGTTGACATCTAAGAAGAAAGGAGATATTATCAAATGTTGCTAATCAAGCATTAATGTAGATTCATAGACATTATCCTCTGTCCTTTAATGATAGCATGTTTATAGATTTGGTTAGCTCAAATAAAAATTCAAAGAAAAATTATTAGTAGTCTAACCTAATTTTTGTTGAATTAATTTGATTGTATTTAGAAAAATAAATCAAACATCCTAACTTTCTTATTACTCAGACAAAAGAGTTGAGATTTTGCATAATTTTGATTAATTCGTTTGCCTAATTGTTGTTATTGATTGAATATATCTAAGACATGATATTTTTTATTATTACGACTTAGTGTAAAGTTACTAACATTGAAGTTTATTATACTTGTAAATTAGATCGTGTGATTTAATTATGAAATTTGAGTTGAGAATTTTATTTTTCGCATTAAGGGAGATTTTGAAAGATAATATGATTTCTATCCATTTTATTCTTTGAATTTCTATTTCATTTTGTTGTTTGTTTCAATCCATCATAAATCTTTGTAGTTAGTTTCTTAGTTATAAATAGTATTATAATTTATACTTTGTTTTCATCATAAATTCATTCTTTATTTTGTTTTCTTAGTTATTTCTGTGTGTATTGTTGAACATATATTACAATTCTTTAGAAAGATACTTTCCTTTCTCTGAAATACTTGGATTGAAAAAGTGCACTTGATTTTTTTTGTTTTAATAGGAGTCTACACAAATTATATTAATTATTATATCAATGATTGTTGACTGAAGGCCACAAGCTTGGTCTCATAGTCAAAGGGGGTGCAAGGTTATAACACCTTTATATCCTTTCCAATTCAATTTGGTGGTGGATGTTTTCAGTGATTCAATTTAAAGAGCTATTAATCTTTTATTTATAGTATTACAATAATATATTGATTCTAGATAATGAGAAGAAAATTAAATATATTTTTTGAACTTTTTATTCACCTCTAAATAAAAAGGTGACACTATCGAATGTTGCTAATCTATCATTAATGTAGATTTCTAAATATTATCCTCTGACCTTTAGTTATAGCATTTTTTAGATTTTGGTGTAGCCTTTTCAATACATGGTTGGTAAGTTTACTACTATAATTAATAAATGATATCTCATCAACGATTCAAATATAGCTAAACATCAATTTATATGTTTCCAGTCATTGTTGCAAAGAAAATTTCTAAATATAATCTTAATGTAGTTATTACAAGCAAATTAACATTCACACATTCTACAAACACTTGTCTCCTAGTAATGCAGACAAAACTTTTTATTTTTTTCCCCAAACCACAGTATTTTATGTACTAGCTCAATTCAAACATGTAGGAATTAATAGATAAAATATTTAAAAACAAAAATTATTATAAAACTTGATGAAATTGGTACCATAAATTATACTTGGTAGAATAAATGAGTTTTAGTTGAGCTAATAACATGAATTAACATAGAACTAATATGGGATGAACAACAAGACTACTAAACAACCACTTCAACTCTAATCAAGTTACCATACATTCTTGATACTACAACTAAAATATTAATACTAAAGAAAAAATACAAGATATATAAGCCAACAAACTAATTATTTTTAAATAAATAATTAAAATATATAATTCAATCATTTTTAATTTTTATAAATTGAAAAAGAATAAATAAAATTATTAACAAATCAAAATTTGAATACATATTAATTAAAAAAATAAATGCATAAACTATAAATAATAAAAAAGTCATTTAGCATGATGAAAAAAAGTTAATCCTTAAGAATGCTCTCGTTTTGCAAATATTCCTAAAACGACTCTAATGTAAAAATACTTTTGAAAACAATTTTATTCAAAAATTAATATTCACAAATTAGATTGAGAGAGGTGCATTTACGATTTTTATTTTATTATAAGATAGATTATTGATTGAAAATCTCTTAACAAATTAGAAAAAAATAATTTTGAGACAACCATCATTTTAAAATAAAACTCTAAAACAAACTAATTCATGTATTCATTATTCAACTAACGATTTTTCCCTCCATTTTTTTGGTTGATCAAGTCCCTGTCACCATTTTGTGAAAGTATACGATTTTTTTTACAAAAAAGGAATAAAGTTGAGGAGTAGTTTTCTTAAATAATTTTTATGTTACTTTTTAATTATATTTTTAATGCGTATATAACAATATTTAATATTTAAAGTTACTAATACATTAAGTTTTTTATATTTTATAATTTTTAATAAAAAATTATTATATATATATTATCATATGTTCTAAAATAAATAACAAATGTACTATTTTAAAGGACTTTTAGTATTATTTATCCAATAAAATAAAAAATATTTTAATAAAATATTTATATTTAAATTTATTATAATTATTGTACTGGATAGGAAACTGCTCGATCCTACATATAGAAAAAGGAAACCGAGTACCTATTCGGCCCAGTTTGACCGAATACCTTTTGTCACGATTAGAAGGTAATTAACCCAATTAAGGGTAATAATCAAGGCATTATCTACTTTAAAGTAAAGAGCCAAAACTCAAGGCTGACTCAGCAGGTCCATTAGCCCATAACAATGCTTATAAAAGGAAGGTAGGAAGTACATGTAAAGAGTTGACTTTTCATTATTAAATAACATTTATTGCTTAGAACTGAATCCTGACTTTAGCATTGGAGTGCCTTTTGTAGGTACCCTCCCCACGTTAGCGACAATCAAAAGGACGTCACCGTTTCAGAGCAGAGACTTGAAGGCTAGTGTTTCCTTAACTGGAACATTTTGGCACCCACCGTGGGGCACGATTGCCTTGCTTTTTCGATCAATATGGTACTAACAAGAAGCCAACAGGAAGGACATGTTCAGTGGGGGGAAACTTCACAGCAGCAGCAAGAAGATACCACATCTAACCAACCGACACCTGAGGTTTTGGTGGAAGGAGGCACTGACAAGGGCCTTTTAGCGGTGTTAATGCAGTTCAAAATAGAAATGATGGAGATGAAAAAAGAAAGGGAAAAAGATGCCCTGAAGCTCTCGGCCTTGAGAAGGGAAAATGCCCACTTAAGAGAAGAAATAAGAACACACATCCCTTCCCAAACTACACCTCTCGCCCAGGATCAGGGAGAGTTCTCGGCGTTACAAGAGAAACCGAGAATAATTCAACAATCTGAAACCAAGAATGACCGAGATGATGTA